AAAAACCTGTCTTTGTGTCTTGGATTTTTGCAAATATTTTAAAGAAGTACATGATGGATTAGGTCCAATTTTAAAAATGTGGTTCCCTAACTTGTTTTCTACATGTGTGCCCAATTTCATGTCATTTGATGTAGCCGAAAAGGTTTTACAGAGGAAAGAACAAATGGTGCACCTGGGAGCCTTTCATATCCAACACCTATCTGAAACCAATCCAAAATGGCCACAGTGTAACTAGCAGTGTTTTTTGGGATAGCGTCTCTTTCTAAATGCATTACCACTTATGGGTCATAAGAAACATTTTGTCACACAACATCACCACACATTTGGAGGTCTGTCATTGACGTCGTCTGCTGTGAGCTCCCCTGTCGGCTTTGTTCCCCTAAATAAACCCCTTTTGACCGTGTTCTCGGCTCAGTCGCTTGCTTCCCGGATCGCCCGGACTTGCAACGCAACAGCTGTGACGTGCCTCATCTCATTTTGGGTGTGTGTCAATTCTTTTGCCTTGTGCTCAAAAAATGCTCTGGGCTTGTCGCGGTATTGGGGATGAGTTGTCTGAAAATGTCTTACTTTGGATGGCCTCATGCATTCGTTAGCAAGAACTTTGGCGCAGATAATGCACTGTGGCTGGGTCAGGGACTCTTTGCTTCGAGAAAATGGAATAAAACCTTAGTTCAGGTAACTATCTTGGTATTTCCTGTATTTCGTGTTTCCAGTATTGCTAGCACTGCGACCCACAATGTTTGGAGATTCCTCACCTGGGTCCAGTATACTTGGGTCATTACTATTAGCTGCTGAAGGTGAATCAGTGAGACTGTCTTTTTTGTGGAGGACGAATTACAAATTTGTCCATTTTTTGGTCAGCCAGGGGATAAAATTAACTAAGGTAACATGATCGTTCTCCTGATTGCCCACTGCTAAAATTTTTTTTAAATAAGACGCAACCCCCCACAGAGCTCGCTGAGGCCTCCTTGTGGGCTGGGACCCCCCTGTTGGGAACCGCTGCACTACAACACAAACTTTCCCCTTACCAGTTCAAATCAAATATTTAAAAATAAACATGCTGTCACATCCCACTCCGTACGATCCCGATGTGTGCCACGCCCCCCTCATTACCTCGCGTTCAGCCCTGATTGTTCTCACCTGTTGCCTGTCCCGTTTACCTAGTCCTGTGTATATTAGTCCACGTCTCCCCATGTCTGCCAGATCCGGCATTGTATTGTCCGTGGATGTCCGTGCCTGTCTGTCCGTCCACCCGCTAATAAACCCCCATTCTACCCGTAAGTTTGGCTCAGCTCGCTTGCTTCCCTGCTCGCCTTACGCCCGAACGTGACACATGCCATCATCTGAAAATATAAACACAGTACCACAGGACCACCCTGTCCTCTTATGCTCCTGCATACACAAAATATTACCTTCAGTAAGTACAACCATTACTCATTAATGTGCTACATTTTCCTCTTTTGTACTACTTAACGGGTTATAATCTACAAAGCAGTTAACGGGTATCACGAGAGCATGACTATACTAACAAATGAAGAGCAAATCTTGGTTCAATGCCAGACACATCCTGTGGCGAATAAGTATGCATATATATAAGGCAAGATTGTTTAAAAGTGGCATTGTGTTTAACAGTTCCAGTCAGTCAACTGCCAGATTCCAGAAAGGCTACTGTACATGTGACCCATACACAGTAGATATGTCCTGGTATAATACATTTAAACTGCACTGTGAGAAATGCTTGTGTATCTCATGGATAGCAAGATGGGCAAGATGTTTTGACACGAGAATTGATTCAAACTTGGCAAGGAATGACTGTGTTCCCATCACTATGCTTATAACACCCATACAGATGAACTTACAGAAATCCACTGAACTCCTCTGAAGGTTTCCGCCACACTGTAACATCTTTCTGCAGTGACAATAAACATCATGAGATGAACATACTGTAGGTTACTCGAAGGTGACTACAAAGATAGTTGAAACATTGCACATGTGTATAAATATCTATATTTTGTCATTTTGCATACTGTCAGATTTTATTTCAAATGAATGATGAGTACTGACATTTCCATTAATGGTTTGTCTTATATAGTAATTATACGTAAGTTGTTAAAGAGAATGAAAAGTACCATATTTTTTGCAACCCTCCAGTCATCTCCGTTAGCGTTATGGTATCCAACAAGGGTGTTTGCCAGCTGGCTTGCATTTGGTAAGTCGCCCATGTCTGGCCTGAAATTGAAAATATTAAATGTTGAGTCAGTGACATCCTCCGTCAGAACAACCCTCTTCAATGATCTTCACCAGTCTACTACCCACTCTCAAAATACCCTACCGTATAGCAGTAACAAGTTATGGGATGTATTAAAATGAAAGCATTTCATGGTAACAGCAGAGCCAGCGCCAATGGAAAATGAATGTGGGGGGGGGGTGCGCAATTGAAATGCAGAGAGGGGGTAGTGACATAGCTCCTTAATATAGCCTGCTCGCCCTATTTGAAAATAGCAAAAGCGACCGGAGTGTCCCAAAATAAAACACTTAAAAACACCCAATCAGCTTGCACAAACATTCCCAAACATGCTCTAGTTTAAGTTTATAAGCATCTTGGAGACTTCTGCCCTCAGTTAAACAAATTTTTTGAAAGTTCTGACTCTTGGGAAAAACTGATGTAAATCTTGTCTCAATTATTTCAGTGACTGCAGCATTTGGTCAGCCTTTTCCCATGGTATGTCCAGTTTACCCACTCTAGAAAACTATATTTTTTTTCCTGCTTAATTCCATTCCTGGCTGAGTGACCAGTGCCATGAAGCTTTTGTGTAGCATAGCTTTAAAATAAGCTGGAATTGTTGCTGAACTCATCTTTCTCCAAGTGATGCTCGTTGCAGAACTCAAGGGACGTGGAAAACCTCAAGGGGCGTGGCCCATTATTTGCAATTAATACGAATTCAGCTGCAATTGCACAATTAAGAGACGATAAAAACTAATCCTAGAGGTGGAAATGTTAAACATAATCTGTGACAGGAATTTTGACGATCGACTTTAAAGTTTGCAGGTGTGTGAAGTTATCTTTTTCTAAACAATGAAGAAGACTGTCTTGGTACCTAAGGACATTCACGGGTGGTTTCTTTTATGAAATAGACATAATAATAGAAGGAATAAACTGCTTGAATAGATGGATAAAACAATATTATATTAATTTCTAAGCGTACGGTATTAAAATTAGATCCAATTATCAAAATACAATATTCTCGCGTGTTAAAATTCTAATTAAAACCATCATTGATGAAAACAGCAAAATTCCCATGCTGTCATTATATTCTCCTTTGATACTGAAATGTGACATTGTATACAGGTGTTTATTGTGTGACGAGACTGAGCATGGACTCACCCGTTTGGTTGATTTAGTGCAGGGGTGCCCAATCTTATCCGCAAAGGGCCGGTGTGTATGCGGATTTTCGCTGCAACTCCCTAATTAGATTACTAATTAAAGGACTGATTGGCTGAAGAGTCCTCACACCTGGGTTTGAACAGCTGACCTACAGGTTATCCCAAAAACCCGCATACACACCGGCCCTTTGCGGATAAGATTGGACACCCCTGATTTAGTGGAATTTAGTGGAACTAGGAACAGATGCGCCTGACTGGGAGTGTGGGAAGGACACCAGTAGATACAGACTGAGCATACACTGTAAGGGAGAGACCTGACTGCTGTATCTCAACGCTCTCTTTGGTGGGTGGCCATTGCTCGCAGAAATTTAGAACTGCCGGCGACAGAAAAACCGGGAAGGTGTTCCTGTGTAAGGAGGGGAGGTTTTCTGCCTCCTGTAGACAGTTAGGGGCCGTAGGAAAGCAGCTGTAGCCCCTATCACCCTCAGCGTGGGGTGAGAGACTGATGTCAGATAGTTCTGCTCATACCATCCAGTGAAGTTGTTCACCCAGGGAGCTGGACGGTATGAGCAGAACTCAGTCTGACATCAGTCTCTCCCCGGCTATAGCGCTTTCAAGTTCAGGCCCTGGGAGGGGAGGTCTAGCCGAGAGGGCAAGTTAAATGTACGCGTTAGCTATGCGTTTCGTATATATGTACATAATAATGGGGGGGGGGGTCCGGTGAAAAGCAGGAACTGTAAATTCAGTGGTGGGGTATTCACTTGGTTTCACTGAAGTCGGTTGTGGTGGTTGGATTGCAGTACCCAGGTAGGTTACTTTGGTTGCTAATTTGCAATGCTTGTTTAGAGGGAATTGGCGTGCTGTGTTCAAGTGGTGTACCTTAAGGTAGAGTATGGCCTTGTGTGTAGTGATGTTCAGCTGAATGGAGTCTGGTTTACCCCAGTGCGGACAATTGCCCTAATTGCTCATAACCGTCTCCCCTTCTATCAAGCAACTTTTATATCATTGATTAATCAAAGATATTCTTTTGTACTGCATGCTATTATGGTGTGGTTATTCACAAGATCTGCCTCTAGTAGTGCTTCTTGGCTATGGGAAGATTAAACGCACATTTGTTACAAATGCTTACCATGGCAATTAAGCACTTTTTGAAACTAGTAATTTCCCCAGCAGTTCAGCTCCGGTCAAAATAGAGCAGGAAACTTATCACCAGAAAATGATCTTTTAAAAAATAATTGCAAGCACGCCCATTCTCGGCTTCCGTAGAGAAGACAATAATTGGAGAAAGCTGAGGATGGACAGATGCCCCTTAAGGTTCCCCTGGAGATCCCATGGTCCTTGAGCTCCACATTGGGCACACTCCTTGAAGCACCATGGGAACACCCTTAGAGCTCTGCACTGAGCAGTTTCTCTTTTCCTGAGCTATTTGTTTCTTACTTAAAAGAGCTGCAGTCTATTGGGTGAACAAGAGGCCCATCAAATGGGAGGATAGGTAGTTGCAGGGTTACGAGGTGGTTGGCTGGAAACCCTTGTCATTGAGGGAAAACCGAACAGATAGGCCTGTGTATGGGCTCATTTTGTTAAGTAGGTCAAGGGCTACATCATGAATGCTAAATTGTGTGTACACGTGGTGGATGTGCTGAAATCCATAGGTGAAAATTGATGATGTCATTGATATCATATTTACAGGGGTTGTTTTAGTTGCTTTTGAGCGTTTTAGTTTTTAGACTGATATCCGTCACAGGTCTTTAGTCTTTGGACCCTTACAGAGATACGAATGCTGTGTTCAGTGTACTTTGTGCAGTGAGTGTTATGTTATTCATGTAAACAAACAGGAAGTGCACCATTCCCCTGGTGACCACATTGAAAGGCTAACAAATTGTATTAATATTTCTATGAGTGGCTTGATGCCTAGATAATGTTTTTTTTTGTTTGTTTAGAAAAACAAATATTAATATAATTAATTTCAGGCCAGAATTGAACTGAGGAATTGAAGTCTGGAAAATAGTACCACAAATGGGTGGATCAGGGTGAAGCGGACTAAGAGGACCCAAAAAAATTATGCACACTGCACACACCTTTGTAAGTGTTTAACAAGTTACACCATCATTACACCACACACACTAACAGATCAACAAACCAGGAAACATGTACCATCCACACACTATTACATGGTAGTCACTCTCTGAGCTTTATTTCAAAAGAGCCAGCAACATGTACCGACATCTACCTTCTAGAAATACGATGGGACAGTTGCCAACTTTGAGTCCACCACAAATAGTCAACAAGCCTACGCTACCCAGTCAACCAATCAAGTGGATTTGCAAGAAACTGAATATGTAAACTAGAATGTGGCTTTGGATTTAGCAAATGATGCTGGGCTGCATTATATATTAGTATTTGAAAACGAAAATAATAGTAAAATTTAGGCCTTAATCTCAGTTGAGGGGGCGGGGTAGTCCATCTATGGGGGCGATGCCCCTTTATGACCATGGTGCAGGGCCTCCTAACAGTTTGGATTATTGAAAAGTAGTCAAACATTCCATTTTAAAATATACATCTGTGACTTTATTTTGAGACTCATGAAACAGATGTTGGTCAATTTATGCTTGTGCTTGCTAGAATGACTTTTCCTGGAATCAATTTGTGATGTATGTTTAAACTATTTGCTAAAATACATTTGTTTGAAATTCAAATGAGTATTAAAGGCTAAAACATAACGTAATATTGTGTTGAAACGTCAACATACTTAGCAGTTTTCATGACGCTCAGCCATTCAAAAGATTGTCTAATTCGTGCTGAAATCTAACCAATGCTGGACATGTTTTTAAGAAGCAAAAACTGCCGATTCTAGGGAATCCGAAACAAAGGTGACGTTTTAACTTAGCATTATACTGCCATGTACTAGGTTAAGATGACAGAATGCGCCTGGCTTCCTGATACTCTGAATAACAGCGAATTTATGCTAAATGGTACCATAACTATAGCCAAACAGCTTGACAGCATTTATAAATGTAATAGTCCAAGGTGCAAGTTCAACGTCGTTCAGACAAACGTTTGGGGGGAAAAGGTTGGGGAAATATTTCAGACTAGAATCTATAAATAAACAGAAATAACTGAATAACTTACTACTATATAAACCGGGAAAATTGCGGATGATCGCTTTTTCCTCTATACCAAAATACTGTACCAAATATACCGGTTTAATCTGGAAAAATCGCTATAATTAATTTCAATATATTGCTTCCTTAAAAACTGTTGCGATATACAAAAGTAAATATTACACCAGTCCCTTAATGTAATCAAACAATTATTACAAGTTATTTACATTTCATACCTTCAGTTTCCAGTTTCAAGGCTTTCCATGCAAACAAACCGCGCCTCTGCGAAAAGTCAGGGCAAGAAGCGGCCGACAACGCGAGCAGCGTCCGATGGCTGCATTGACCAATCAGAACCGCGAAACTTACAACAGGTCGGCGTATGTCGCCGCCTTCGAATAATCATTTGCTCATTTACTACGCCTCTCCAGGCGCGTCACATGACCGACAGATGAGTCCGACCAACCAGGTGAATCACAGCTTCATTCAGAATCAGAATTAGAATTCTTTTATTCGCCAAGTACAAAAAGTACAAGGAATTTGTTTTGGTGCAGGTGCTGGACCGAAGTGTATAATCAAATATACGATCAAGACAAAAAGTATAACATACAATAAATGAAGTCAAATTAAAATCGATATATAGAATAGAAATGAAGTTGTGAAAATAATAAATAAGCATGTACACATAATCAGGGGCGCTGTAAAGGGGGGGTAAACGATGACGATTCTCGGGGCCCATGACTGAGAGGGGGCCCAGAGAAGCCCCCAATAAAATTGTGGTGCTGATAGTAAAAATTATTAACTTAAAATTATTCTATTTGCTGTTTCCTGGTGTCAAAAATGTGTTTGTGTATAGGAAACACAAACGTCCGTGAGCCCCTCTCCCCCTCTCGATTATCATAAAATGGTTCAGTCCGCCCAAATTGTACCCAGGCAACAGCTTGACTTCACTTATACCGCCGGCAGAAGTGAAAATGCCTCAAAAATCTGGAAGCCAAAAACGGAAAGAGAAAAAAATAAGACAAGTGAAAGAGGCAAAGGGTCGACAGTATGTTACCCAATATTTCAGAAGAAAAGGTGGGTTTGTAAGTAGGACTAAATTGACGACAATGATCGTAGCCTACGGTTTAAATATTTATTTACACAAATATTTAAACTAGTTTTAATGAAAATTCATGTAGTTTTAGGAAAAGTCAGGGAGCAGCAAGGCTTTGTGATTTATTTAGACAAAGTTATTGAATATGCAAATTTCAAAACGGTCAAAATGACGCCTTGTTCGTTCTAGTGTTAAAGATAATTACCCTAAGTTTAAATGTTGCGGTTAAGACGACTGTTGGTGGCCGTTCTAGTGTTAAAAGTGCATGATAAGGGAACTCAATTTTCTCCCCATGTTAGATCAAGAAAACGCTGGAAAAAATAACAATACACAGTTTTAGTTAAACGTTCATTGCAGTCAAATGCACTTTGTGAAAATCATTCCTCGTTCAAAATACCATAAAAGCGCATGATTTTATGTAAATTAATATGAAAAGTCTCAGCTGTGTTGGGGGCCCTGTCAAGATTCTTTTCATGGGGCCCAAAATCCTTAGCAGCGCCCCTGCACATAATTAAAGGTAAGACAACTACAGTGTTCACAGAAAGTATTGGGACGCTTGCTTAATTCAGTAAAAACATTGCAGATGTATGTTTGTAAACAAGAATCATTCGTTAAAAGTTTCATTGACGAGCAGTTTCACTGTGTGCTGTTTAATTAGTAACACCTTTGCAATAACATAAAACACCAAACATTCGTGTTTCTTATGAGAGTTGACTTGTTTAGTTGACTTCTGTTGTTCAGTTAAGAGGGGTCGCCCTTTTGCATTTATAGTCATCGGAAGTGGGGCTTCTCCTGGGCAACAGAAGCTCTAGCATATTCTGTAGTTTTATATTTGTTTTGTTGCTACTTACTATTATTACTTTAACAACTGTATGTCGAAGTCAGCATACAAAATTTGGAGTCAAAATGACAATTCACTGCATGAACAAATGGAATGATGCATCGCCCAGTAAACAAGCTGAATCATTGCAGAGACTGAGACCATTTCTTTTAAAGATTTAAAAAAAAAAAAAAAAAAAAACAATGTCACGATCAGCCCCTGCCCTGGCCTAGGTGTCACCCCGTTTGGCCAGCAGGTGTCGCTGGTCTTCTCAGCTCCTGTTATTCTCCAGGGTTTGTAGTCCCTAGTGCATGAGACCTGGTTGTGTCATGGGGGAGAACTGAGACTGACCATGTTTGGTGTGTTTTTAGAATAACAGATAATTGTTGCTGAAGAGACAATTCTTTCTTGCCACATATTGAGCTGCTCAAAACTCTGCAAACACAGTGACTAATGTCCATCTGTAATGGCTGAGTGGTTCAGGTGTTGGATTTCCAATTTGAGTTCCGCATATTGATTCAAATCCTGCTTGTAGCATTGTCTTCCTGTCTTCTCTTCTCCTCGTTTGTCATGTGAAGTATGAGTGGGGAATGAACTCCTTCAATAGGCAAAGTTGTCAAATATTAATTATGTATTGGTGGTCCCCAGATCATTGCACATTTATGGGTGCTTGGTCATAAATCTAATATGATAGCTGTCTTCTGAGACATCATGCTGTAGAGTGTCATAGTCTTGGGTGTTTCTGACACTGAGGCGAGGCATGATGAAGGCAGGAAAAGAAGTGGACGATCCACTGGTACAGGGGTGGCCAATCTTATCCACAAAGGGCTGGTGTGTATGCAGGTTTTTGGGATAACCTGTAGATCGGCTGTTCAAACCCAGGTGTGAGGACTCTTCAGCCAATCAGTACTCTAATTAGTAATCTAATTAGGGAGTTGCAGCGAAAACTCGCATACACACCGGCCCTTTGCGGATAAGATTGGGCACCCCTGCACTGGTGGCTCCAGGAACACAGGGGTTTATTAACAGAAACAGAAAACACTACAAAACAAAATGGGCCACAAGGGGTCAAAACTAAAAAGGGGTATGAAGTAAACCAGGGCTGGACTGGGACCAGAAAATGGCCCTGGCATTTTTTGGTCATGGCAGCCCACTATGATTAAGTTGTATTAATATTACATGATAATATTAACTGTAAGCTGTAACACCTGCAAACTGTAACTTTATGCCAAGCTAAAATACCACTAAGTTGGACACCAAATCTACTCATAGCATTATTTAAAAATGATGGCTATAAAGGCAATTCTCTCTCTCATACACACACAGTTTGTGCACAAAACTATAGTTTTGTACACAAATGACACATAACTCTATAGGCTAATATTATTATGCATGTTTTAAGTCTGACTGAATAAAATAAGTCTTGCAATAAGTTCCTATGTTGAGCATTTGCACACTTTTGGCCCAGATACTAATTAGTAAAGATGTGTGTCTAATCATTTTTTATCATTTTAAAATTGTATTGTAGTATCGGTGGGGTGCATGTCCCAGCATGCCCCGCGTGCAAATTATAAATAGCCCTTCTATTGTTGTTGTTATTGTTAATGGTTATATTCCTTATTGTCGCGCGTGTGTTTGCCCGATCCTCGTGTGTAATTAGCTTCTGACAACCCTGTGTTTCTCACACGTAATCGTTTCGGTGCTCGTTGGGTGCCTGATGTAGTCTTTTTTCAGTACTAGCAATAAAGAGCGTGTTCTCCCCCGTAAGCAAGTGACGTCTCTCTCTCTCTGCTCCTGCGATGCCTCGGTCCGCCCATCGCCACAGTATTAATTCTAACTCTTCTAACTTTTTCCTTATTTTACGTTTTCTGTTTTAATTCACCATTATTATTACACACTAGAGGTCGACCGATATTGAATTTTACCGATACCGATAGCTAGGTTGGTCCGTACTTGCCGATAACCGATTAATTAACCGATAGTTTTTAAAATGGATACTGGATTTTAAAAAAAAAACT